AGAAGCAAGGAGATTTTTTTATTATTTTCGCTTTCATAGCGCATTCACAACCTCGCACAGTGAGTCATAACGAAAATGGCCACGGGAATTATTTATTGCATGACGCCGTAAACAAGGAGCGCTTTAACGCCTGTGCCATGCTTCCGTCCCTGTTGCGGGCGGGGTTCTTGTACCTACGAAGTCGAGCCAACGAGGTCCAAACGTCACACATTTTTTTCGCGGTTATTGAGCACTCCAGCAGGAGTAATCATCCCAGCAATGCCACTGACCAGCGGCTGCGCGAGGTATCGTCGCTCCGCAAGTTGACAATGGTCGACTACGCACGTAAACGTCACCGTCTCTCGCTGAATGAGTACGCCGCCACCGTAAAAGTACGTGCACCTTGCCACCGCAGCAATGCAGTCTGGGAAAAAGAACAGGGCAGTGTGCGGAGAATGACGGAGAGAGTGACTTCCCCTTCCCGTGGCTGGTGACGTTAAGTAAAGAAGTGAAGGAATAGATTTAAACAAAGAAATAAAAGTAAACGCGCAGTACGGGAATCCGGCTGTCACTTCCAGCTAAAAACGGCGAGGCAGGGTAGGGGTGGGGAGGATGGGATCGTGTACTGGAGCAATCTATTACTTTACTGCGAAAAGTTTTGTGAAGTGCAACGCGGAAGACCGTGCAAAGCGCACTGTCTGACCAACGCACGTGTTTGTAGTGCCATGTCAGCAGAGTGAACGCTGTGTTCACCCACACGAAAGCGTTACACCTACACACGCAAGCACATGCAAAGGCTGGCATGTCTCTCCGTGCTCGACCAGTGTGGATGCTGTGTTATCAAGGAACATGCGAGTAATCTTGATAACTCATCCGACGAAACAATCGAAGTTCTTTGAAACATTGTTTACGTGAGACCGAGTCCTGGTTCTTTGTAAAAGGCTCTAGAATGACGATTTGTGGAGAATAAGTCCTAAGCCTCCGTACGCCGCATGGTTACCACACCGCACGATGTCTCGCTCACTAGCACACTGTCGATATACTCGAATACACACAAGGGTTGTATATTGGCTAATCTTAGTCTACATTTTGCTAATCATCATTCCCAAATACACCGCTTGCGAAAAAAAAATTAGCGCCATGAGCTTTCGTATTTTATGGGTGTCCTTTCTTATACATCCACCTAGCCATGTCAGAAAGTGATTGTCCTTGTCAAATACACACTCACGCTGTCTGTGAGAGAGAGAGAAAAAAAACACGGCGCAAGAGACCATGACGTACTGACAAACGCAGCTTCAGGAATTAACATACGTGCTGCTTCGCATGCATGGCTTCACTTTCTGTGCGAACAACTAAATCGAAGGCTCGCAGTAACCACGTGGGCGATGGGCGCAGTCAAACCGCTTGTAATCGCAAGCCATAAGAAGAAATGGTTAAAAACAAAAAAAAAAGAATTGGAACCATTACGCCAGGAGGGGAGGTTAAGTGCGGATGAGTCTAAACGCTGGGTTTTAACAATCTGAACAAAAAGGCGGACAAGAAAAAACAAAAACACGAGAACTAATAGTGAAAAATTGCATTACGTGATTCGCCTCTTCGATTTGGTTATCAGAGCACGGACCCGCTGCTTCCGGACGCGGGGCTTCTCTGCCTCTCTACCAGTGGCCCAACGGCCCCGGTTTGACGTTTACGCACGTCGCGCAGTTGTACACGTTTGTCGATAGGAGCCCCGCGGGCCGACGTCGGAGAATTTCTATTACGCTAAATCGTCCGAACCTCTCCCTTACTTTTCCGTCTGACCCAGCAGACCCCAACGTGTGCGAGGACGGGTCGGGGACTAGCATTGTATTACGGGCACGTCGAATGTAATGAATACCGCTGCTAGAATACGTGAAAGAGTGGGGAGAGTAGCGTTCTAACGTTTGGCGGGCTGTGCTATATACTCGATACGCTATCGCAACTGGTGCAGGGGGTTAGGAGAATCGTATAACAAGACTGGCACTAAGCTAATGAAAGCGCTTGAAAGATTAAATGTATACAATAACCCCGAATAGCGCCCGATAAACGCAGCACCACGTTTATGAGCACAATGTTTTCTACAAGTCTTCCCCATCATAAAACAATATTCGTGATACGGCTCATGACTGATGCGTTGCCTCCTCCGCATGAGAGAACCTTAATAATGTTAATATTATCTTCGATTTCAAGTGTCGAAACCCCAATATGATTACGAGGTAGAGGGCTCAGGAAATTTAGGATATCCTGTTTTCGTTAAAATCCGCCTAAAAATGAAAAGCACGCGGACCTCCAGCACTCTGCCTCTATCGAAATGCAACCGTCCCGGTGGGGGCCGAACCCACGACCATATGGTCAGCATCATATTACTGCAACTACTGTACCATCTCAAAAACAAGAAAAGGAAGATTTAAGAATCGAAATTCTAAATAGAACTAGAAATATGCAAATGCAAGCTTTAAGCGGGTATAGTTAATGGGGTGTTTAGAATAGCGTGCGCTAAGTAAGCGTTCGTTGCAGTCGCCCGCTAGTTTTGTGAGTTTACGGGAGCCCGCAAAAAGTCAGCATACAACCTAAGCGCCGTGGTGACAAAAGCTAACATGAAAGTTTTGCCTGCGCTATTCTAAAACTACCTATTTGTTTTATCTTTATTTTTATTGTTTTCCTTTTCGTACGCTTACGCTACTCTAAAACTGCCTGCTCAACACAACATCTCGTGCATGTTGATTCTCATCCACCGCAAAGGTTTCCGTTTGATGCTCGGCCAATTTTTGTATGTGTCATAGGCAATTCACAGGCTGTGACAAGATGCTAAAAAAAGGTTTCCTGGACCAATAGTGCGTTGAGATGGCTACAAAACGGTGCAACACAGTAGAAGGCGATTTACGACGCCCATTGAAAAAATAGTGGCAAAAAGAGCGTATGCACAGGAATTACACAAACGTAGTGGCATTTAAAAACTACGTGCCATAACTGAGAAATGAACCGTGACCAAGAAACGATCAAGAAACGATAACCGAGAATACGCTTCGCCAGATATCCACCCCGATACTGGCCGATCTAGCAACAGCCGCTCCCGACCTGCTAGGGAAAGCTAATAATCCTTCGCAATAAAAGTGCACATTTGCTGCAAAAGTGGCAGCCCCATTGTTCAATTGCATTGTAAGCTCTCAATTTTTTTTTTGTGCGGTACGCGCAAAAGTGAATCCTTTACCCAAAACAGCAATAATGTCGCAAAAACGGTGGGATGCAGAAAACTGCAAGGGTGCTTTACTGTTAAGCTTGCGAGCAATGGCGAAAGCAGTGTGCATCTCCCAAGGGCGCTGCAGACCTTTTTTTATTTCAATACGCAACTACACAAATGTTACCGGCTGTCATTTCCACTACTTTGCTACTCTTTCATACTTCATATTTGATTGTGAAGATAATATGTTATACTAATCATTTATGCACAACGTGAACGCACTGATAGCAAGGCTCAATCATTCTTTAGAAACGTTGAATAACTGCTACAATCCATCTTTTAACTCCTTTAAGTGCGCACAGAACACGGAGACAAGAAAGAAACAAAAATCTTTTAGCACGCAAAAAAAGTTAATATATAGATACATACCAATTAGCCCAGCTATCACTTCTACTGCTACTAACTTCCGGTTTCTGAATGGTCGATTCACTGTCAAGAATGCCACTTTCTTTCGTAACATTCTCTCTGCTCCTTTCGTTAAAATTGCCTCTTTTTTCATGGCGCACAGCTGAAGGTTTGTCTTATTAATGGGTCCTTATTATAGTCAATCACAACCTAAGAATCAATGTGAGTTAACAAGTATACCCTCACAAAAACTCCCGTTTTCAGAGGAGCTGTTTGACTTGAGCTTGACTTGCCAGCACCTTCAATGCAGCACAAAAGCCCATCGAACATGCTATCTTTAGGCAATGTCACAGCAGCACAAAAACATTTCAAACGCACTGCCTTGAGGCGACGGCAAGTCAAGTTCAAGTCAGAGAGCGCTTCTAATTATGGGGGTCAAGGTAAATGTATAGCATAAAGAAATAAATGTACCTATACCCGCAGCCATCGCTGTTCCTCCTGAAGAGAATTTTGTGTTTAGAAAAGTTGTTAACAATTTAGAGTACTAGGCACTATACTATTGGAGAGCACAAAGCCGTCCCATGGACCTCACACTTGAAGAGGCCAAACAACTGCTAACATTCGGGAGAGAAACCACAAGAGTGCATTTTATGACCTCCAGCATCTTTGATGTCTTCCAGGAGCGTGATACTCCCATGCAGACTTATGTTTGCTTCAACGGTTTCCGACGTGAAAGCGTGCACCTCCATGTTAAATTTCAGATAATATTTTTACATCACTCCTTAGAGGATGGTATTATATCAAGTAGGGGTGACAACTTTTTACTTAACCAATTCATAGTGTTTTAATTAGCATTGAAAAAGTACTGATGAAACCACACTTGCCCAGAGCTCCAGCTGGCTGCTCAACTGCCGCTTTCTGCACATATATGTAAAGACCGACGCCGTTTTGATACGAAACATGTTTACGCTGCGTGCTAGACCCTTGTGCTATAATTTAGGCATGAATGGAAGCCTGTGGCTAACTTGTGGTAGAAGCCGCGGTCAACAACAGTGTCCACAGCCATGCACTCTAGACTAAATCGCCCCCCCCCCCCCAGCCCGCCAATGCAAGCCAAGATACTCCAATTACTCGCATCTCTGCAGCAAATCTTGTGTAAATAAATAAATACATTTTGACCACCATCGCTGCTCTATACCAGTTGGATTTTATCTGTGCCTATGGTGGCTAGGGAACTTGCCTAGCACGGTTCTTTCGTACATAGTAATGGTAGGCATGCTGCAGTCCTACAGGCAGACAGGCATTTATTCACAGTCTGTCGCCAACTGCGGCTGTATATATAGGTTATTTACAGATATGACTTTCGGTGCCACTGCATGCGAGGACCGTGAGGTAAGAGTTCACACCACGTGCTTACCAGACTTCGGGTAGGTGACGATGAAGACATCGTCGTTTCGTATCTTGAAGTCGGCCAGGCCCCGGATGACGTGCGGGTGGAGCAGGTAGCCTTGCAGCAGGACGCCCTTGTAGCTCTGCGCGCGCGGTATGGAGGCGGCGTACGAGGACCAGGCGGGGTCTCCAGCCACCGCAGGGTCCCTCTCAGCCGGCAGCACCTGGTCGTCGTTCTCGGGGCACTTGCCGCTGCGCCCGGCACCCGTCAACAGGGCGCCCAGAGGACTGCTGTACAGGAACTTGAGTGATATCATGGTCAGCAGTCTGCATAGGGAGAAAAAGAGCAGGTTAAGCTATCACCTGTCCTGTTTCTGCTCGATTTGCTGAGACATAAACAGCGAGAGCTTCAACTTGAAAGAATATTGACACGAGAATTTTGTTTTCTATTTTTTTGCGAGAAATGAAGGACCATGCCCCGAAAAAGCAGGAGAACATCGTGCTAGGGGCCGATTTACCCTAAAAAAGTAATTACACTATATGTTTTAAAATACAGTCTCGGTTCCTACGGTATCCTGACGTCTACAGGTCAGCAAAGCTTGCGGAGCTCACTCCGACTAACACATAAAATGTATTTCGATTTTTCAACTGAATCGGATTTCGAATCGCGAAAGTTTTCCTGAGCCGGACTCACTCGAGCTCACACTCATGAAGCTTTTCCTCGACAAGACTCACTCGGACTCAAACTCACAGCTCGACCTGAGTCTGAGTAAGTCCCAGTGAGTCGACTAATGAGTCCGTTAGCCTAGAATTAGTTTTTTTTCCTTGATGTTAATACGTTTCAACACCAATACCTGAAGTATTCGGTGCTGTTCTAGGCACCGTTTGACATTGTATCTTCGAAACAGGGCTCCGCGTGCGTCGAAATCAGTGAGGTTATTTTTTTGGAAAAGAAAACAACGTAAGATATATTAATATCTTACTGAATGTGCTTGTGGGGGAGGTGTTCTGACCTTAAGTAATTGACGCCCTTGATCAACAAATAGTGAAATGAAAATGGTGCATGAACGACGTGGCTTTGAAATAGCCGTCAGTGGACGTAAGTACAAACTTGAATATCTAGATAAGGCTGATAGTAATGTTGAATATGACTAGATAGGGTCGGCAAAAGAATCTGGAACTCAATCAGACTCACTCAAGAAGTGCACATGCGCTTTGGCTTCACTGGGACTCGCACTCACAAAATTTTTCTTCAACCAGACTCCTCATACTCTAGACTCATGACTCGATCTGACTCTGAGTGAATCGTCTTATGAGCGAGTTCGCCGACCTATGCTGACGTCAGAACACGATGTGAGCTTCTCGTCACGTGCTCGCGGACGACAACCTGACATTTTCGCCACCACACAGAGCCGTGGCTCTATTGGTGACGCATACAAACAGTCATTTTGAATATTTTGGTGACGCACAAGTGGCTGCCTTGGAAGTTTCGGTACCCGACGTCATCAGAACTAGCCAGAATGCAGCATTAAGTCACCATATTTATTAATGTACCCTGATGTCAAGCTAGTGTCAATGTCGCTAGGTGCACCATTAAGAAAAATTGAATTTATATCAAAGTAAAATGCCATAGCAGCATTTCCTGAGCCTCACATTCACCCTGGGCCGTCTCTGCATACAGGAGATCTGTGTGGTAGAGTAAGTTTGTCTTTGAAATAAAAAAATGGTGTCAGCACTCTAAGCTAATTGACAAGAAATTAGCTTAATCACGCAGAGTGATTGATTGATTGATGCGTGGGGTTTAACGTCCTAAAACCGCCATATGATTATGAGAGACGCCGTAGTGGAGGGCTCCGTAAATTTCGACTATTTGGGGTTCTTTAACGTGCACCCAAATCTGAGCGCGCAGAATGAAAGAACTAAGGACTGTCAAAGTGAACATGATAAGCACGTGCGCTTTCAACTGATTATTTTTGCAAAAGCGCGTCCAAGATATACACATGAAACGGTAATGATTGCGAAGGGCGTCTTAACGTGAAAAAGATGAAAGCATGTCACTTCAGGTATTCAGGTGTTCTTGATTATCAGGACACTAAAGGAAGCGACACTAAAAAGAAGAACAATTATTCACGTTTTAGTAAATAACTTTTACACAATACCAAAACAACCACGCCTTATTACTGCCAGGAGATGCTAGAAAATACGCAAAAAAATGTGGCTATTGACGCCATCTTGCAATACCTCCATCGAATGTCACGACGTCATAGATATAGACATCTACTGCGCTCTACAAAGATCGGATATTCATTGACACGGAGGGTGTCAATCAATACGGAACTTGTAAGGCTATTTGTCTCACGGAACTTTTCTTTACTATTGCAAAACTGCGTAAGTGTCACGAACGACCACGCAATGAATCACCCTAGTGAATGACAAATTCGCGATAAACGTGAATTCGTGAGCAGGTATAATGCCGGCCCTTATTATATAGGTTTCGTGGGCACCCAAACACAGGAGTGCTTTCTTTTCTTCTCTTTAGGTGCGCTGATTGAAATGCGGCTGCCAGGAGAATGAATTAGGCGCTCAATAGCGCCGCTCGTGCAGCCACGCGTGACAATTGTTTCAAGAGTTCAACATCATAATAATGACTACGTCTCCAACAACAGCACTGACAATTGAAGGTCTCTATCGAGTTGTCCAACCAACCAAGAGGGGGGGGGGGACCTCCTATATGGAATGTGGCACGGAAGTACAAAACTAAGTGAGGTATTGAACTAGTTGGTTTTGTACGAATAAAGCACTGCGCTACAATTACTGGAACAAAAGAAGTTAGAGAAGGTACACACCTGAAAAATGTACTTCTTAAAGCGTGTCCTCTCTGACCTATTGTTCTCCCAGTAACTGTAGAGCAGTATTTTATTTGTACAAAGGCTAACGCACGCGAAGTCACCATCTAGGAGGTTCATTTTCGCAAAGTATGATTTCTTTTTTTTTTGCACAGCCAACAAGAGATTATGGCGGCGGCACTTCAGGGAGCCTTGCCTAATAAGATGCATAAAGTGCGAATAATATACTCGCGAGCGACAGATAAACACTGCGAGTTTTAAAGGAGCACAGGAGGAAAATTGTTTCAGTTGTCATTCTAAACAATTAACAAAAAGTGCCCGTTAGTTTGTGATCCAGTTCAAAGTTTGAGTACAGGGAAAGAGAAGGCTAAAGGAGCACGTTTGGTACTATATTTTCTCTCTTTTTTTAGGAAAGAGAGGGTACGTGAGATTCAACTCAATCTCACGTACCTGCTACTTATGATGCCATGGACTTCGGAGGCGTCTGTTTGGGCCTGAATATGCAGCCCCAAAAATAGACTGCACTGTGTTGAAAGGAGCTAAAGGCTAAAAAGACTAACGTTTAGGCAGAATCACTTTACCAATAAGGCCCAAAGAACTGGTACTTCGATAGTTCATTTCTGTTTAAAAAAAAACAGTACTGCGAAATAGCCAAAAGTAAAATTCTTTAACATATGTGTTATCGGTCGAAAGAGGTTTAGTGTTTAATCATGAGTCACCATAAACTTCAGTTCAGAGCCATTTACGAACAAGTTCTTGCATATTGCCTATGTTGCCCTATTGTGCACTTCTGAGGCTTGGAACTCAACCTGCGGCTTTGCTTTCGTGATGGCATAATGCTAGGAACGTTGAACTAACGGAGGCTATAGAATCATAGGCATCGACGGTTGGTTGCGATAATGGTGGTAACCGCCTATGGGCCGGCTACCTCCGTTAATGATTTGTCCGGCATCGCGGTTGGTTGCGGTTCAATCTTACGATAACTTCCAGCACCAGAATGTTTCTTTGTAAGCGCTCATACGGGGTCCGGATACACCACAAACTCTTACTCTGTAATGGTCTGAGAGAGAATATTTCAGCCAGTCCGCGTGGTGGACACCACCAATGTAGGCGGATGGCCGTTGAAATAACGTTTGTTTTGAGCAAATGGCGTTGTGAATTCAATCTCAGGCGGGTGGCAAGGGAATTCTAAGTACGAGGCCACGCTGCTTCATTGTAATCTATAAGGTCTATATAATGTGGGTAAGGCATCATTCATCGCCAAGGAAAACATTTATGGCTCACTACCCAAATTAAACGTTCTAAGTACCTACGTTTCCGTACGATTCTTACGGAATATGCCAAATCTACAGAAAATTCATGAACATTACATGTACTATGTACCAAGACATGCGAAATCATTGCAAAGCCATATGGAATGTTTCAGCAGAGTAGCAGGGTGTGACTTGAAGAATCACATGCTGGGGCACTAATCATACTGAAAAACGAAACAAAACTTCACCCGAGTTACGTAACAAATCCGCGGTTTTTTTTTCACTCTAGGGGCAGTCGGCAAAATCACGTGCTACAATTCACTGGTGAGGCGTAGCCGCGAAGACGCCTTTAGCAACCGTAGCAGATCACAAGGGCTCTCACCTCCTTCCCAAATCTTTCACGAAGGCATTCACGAAGTTTTTCACAAATTTTTCACAACATAGAATGGACGTGCAGCGCGCGGTGACAGCACGCACTGCACGCAGGCACTAGAGATGATACTTCCGAACGCGGCCAGAATTCACCATCGAACGCGCATGCGGACTGAAAAGAAGGCACGTGCGAAAGGCGGCGTCGGCGGTGCACATACTGGGGAATCGGTGGGGACAGCCGGCCCGATTCGGGACAGGGGCGAGGAGGCAGGTCGAAAAGGGGGAGAAAGGTCGGCGGTAAGAAGAAGACACCGGCACTGCTTTGAGCGATGGGAGAGACGGGAACATTAGGGAGAAGGGAAAACTGGGTCTTGTGCCGGCCCGACCGTTCTAGCCGCGACAGAGCCGGCCGGGTCTCGTCTCTCTTTCTCTATTTCCTTCATTCCCGCGAGCAGCCCGGGAAGGTAGATCGGAGAGGGGGAGGGTGCAGTTCGCTGTCTGGTACCGATTGGGAGAGAGAGGAGACGAAGGGAAGGAACCACCGCTGACGGGTCACCATTGATTGGCCAGGTGGAACAGAAAGCGCGCCGCCCCGCGCTCCCGATTCCAGGGACGGCGACAAAGTTGCAAGGAAGAGAAAGTGGACATCACATTGAAAGTTACGCGAGTCGTGGCCCGGTGTTCGCGCTTAGGTTTCCAGGTGAAGATTCAAAACACGAAAACAAACAACAGTTGAGCTTCAGTATCGGTCTGCCGCAAAAGCCATACATAGCTGAGTTCCAACCCAGAGAACTGCGATTCCAGTGTACTTCCTCGTGTTGCGTGTATTGTTTGCACTGGCCGTCATGCTTACACA